GGGAGACAGAGGCTTGGGGGGATGGGGAGGATGGGGAGCGGAGGGAGGGAGAGAGGACGACAGAACACACAAGGGAGACAAGGGAGAGAGGAAGAAGGAGAAAAGGGAGAGGACAATGTCGGCGGACTGAGCCGAAGGATGTAAAGTTTCAGCGTTCAGCGTGGCCCGAAAGCACTTATACCACCACACTAGCGGCACTGTAAGGCCAGCGCGATATCGGAGGCGCAAGTCGCGTTCACGCCTGAATGCAAGCTCCAGACACAGCCCAAGTCTGATCAAGGCTTTTCGCAGTGGAATTCCAAGACGCCAAATCGACATGATACCTGGGGCCGTCGCGACAGAAGGCCCGAGTGCTGGAAGCAGGCATACCTATTGCCAGCATTCAAGGCGAGTGTGCCAGGCAGTTACGCTTCATGTCAATCGTGAAGCTTGACGCGTGGGATGCGCTGACATAAGTGCCTTCCTACGCGATCTGCTTGATCTGCATATTCTGAGTTACACTTACGGCCAACAGAGGCACCCGCGGACCCACACGAGCTGCATAAAGAACAACAAGTTGAGCTGAAAGCTAGCCGTGGAAACTGAAGGTCCTGCGCACGTCATGTCCACTGCGTCCGCCCGCTTAGTTGCTGCCAGAACATCCGGCGCCCCTAGACAGTCAAGCGACATGGGACTTGAGCTTTTTTGGAGACAATGTTGCACATTCTTATCACCTCAAAGCGCTGATGCTGGGAGCCGCTGGGAGCCCTGCAGGTTGGAAGTCTCACTGGCGGACTTGGTGTTGACCTGCAACGCAGCTCTCGCGGAAAGAATCTCGCTGAGTGGGACTGGGGACCCAACCGGACGTTGATGTGCTTCAGATGGTCAAGGCTGAAGATCTCAGAACGCTGCTCGCCACTTGAGGCTCCCTTAGTGCCGCCAAGGCAAGGCACCCCTTGCAGGGACACGAGTGTCATCCCCGAACATGCCACCGCATCAATGGCACTCTAGCCTGCGCTGAGACCAGCGCGACATTCAAGGCGCAGGTCGCGCTCACGGCCTGAGCGCAAAATGCGAACACAGCAACGTCAGGAATTCTGAACAGCAATTCCTATGATACCGGGTTTGGCCTGCTTTTACACTCGCCAGAGACTAAGACTAGAGTCGAAGTGGAACATCGCTACACTGGGGCCGTCACGACAGAGTGGGCATCCGAAGTGCTGGAAGCAGGCGCGCCTGATGCGCGCCAGGCGGTTACAATTCACGTCAAGGGCAAAACTTGACACACGGGAATATTCTAAAACAAGCACCTTTCTATTTGGTTTGCCTCATTTGGTTTACTCAGTCTACCCTTACAGCCATACAGCCACCCTAGAAGGCGGCGCCCCTAAAATTGACACACACGAAATGGGCAAGTTGAAGGAGCGCGGCAGAGCTGCCAAGTGAAACAGTCATGGGCGCTGCACATTCCACTGTGCCAACCCGCGTAGTTGCAGCCGAATCACCGCCATGCGGCTCCCCTTTTGAGACGGCGTTGAGGAGCCCCTAGCGTTCGCCAAGTCAAACGGAAAGCAAGCCTCCAAGTTGCATGTGACCCCCTTGCTTTCTTCACACTGAAATTGAGCCCCCCAAGGGTAGCTCGGCTGAAAACAGTGTCTTGTACAATTGTCTTGTAGAACTTGACACCAAGAACTTTCTGCCATCCATGCTGATGCTGGGCGCCCCTGCAGATTGAACGTCCTGATGAAGCCGCCGCAAGCACTCACGCCAACGGCGTGATGGAACTGTTGACCTGCAACGCAGCTGACAGTTGGCTGACATCACTGGGTCTGTAGAAAAGGTCACATGTCTTTTTTTGCGGTCGTTTATGGACCCTGCCCTGGACAAAACGTCGTTATGTTTGGAAAAGCCAATTTCATTGCGGCTGATCTTCCATCCACTGGTGGCGGCTTCCCAGACACCCAGCTGACAGTAAGTGCAGTTGGGGGATTGAGGTGAGCCCGGGCGTCCCTGGTTGTTTCGCAACAAAAAGGAACACAAATGTCCTGACACAAGTTCCATTTGTGGCCGCAAAGAGGGGCTCCCAGCAGCTGCACAGCCAGCTGGCAGAGAAGCGGAAAGAGGTGTCCAGAAGCCAGGCTTCAGGCTTGGGTTTTGGGGGGCCCTGCTTGGGCCAAAACTAACCCATCCTGCGTAGAGTATTGCGCTAGTTGGGTTGGAGGGGACAAGTCGAGTTGGCACATTTTATTTTTTCTTCGTTGATAGGGTCCCTCACTGAGTATAATCATGAAATAATGAGCATAACGATAACACAATAGCGAGCAAGGTAATCGCAATACAAACGGTACATACGTGTAAAATACTTATTTGTTTCTGCATATGTATATTTAGATATGTATATATATATATGTACATACTATATATATATATATATATCGGCGAAGTGTCGTTAAGAGTTGAACGCAGTACGAACTGCGCGTTGGAGCCGTGTCTGAACTGCACTTTGGGACGCCCCTGAGAACATAGTTTCCCATTGCCCAGCGCCGAGCAGGCTTTTTTTTGTGCGCCCAGAGTTGAACGCAGTACGAACTGCGCGTTTGGAACCGTGTCTGAACTGCACTTTGGGACGCCCCTGAGAACATAGTTTCCCATTGCCCAGCGCCGAGCAAGTTTTTTTTGCGCACCCTAAAGATCTATAGCTTTATCTGGGTAAAAGAGCGGTTGCCGATGCCGATGTTGCCGTGCTTGCCCGCATTAGTTTGGGCAAAGTACTCAGAAAGACTTTGGTTTCAGGCTAGGAGTGCGTCAAGTGCGTATCATCTGGCTGGCTGGCTGGCATGGATACAGTGCTCAGCGGGCGCGCGCAAGCGTGTGTGCTTACCATTTGCCTGCATGGATACAGTTCTGAGCGGGCGTGCCCTTTGGCTGGTATGGATACAGTGCTCAGCGGGCGCGCGCGAGCCCTGAAAACGTCAAAGCTCGCGACGGGCTAAAGCTGCGATATGCGATACGTGGCAACTACCCGTATACACAGCTGCCCGAAGAGGTAACAAACACATGAATTCACGGCGGCTTTCGCACGATGCGTGGTGGATACCAGTGCACGCAAATGCATTTACAGGCAACTCTGAATGATCCTCCACCCACATATCCCACATATATATATATATATATCACAGGTCATAGACGTAGGTCATAGCTCCTAAAGCAATTTCCGCAATCGACTCGGCAAAACCCAGCTTTCGCTTCAAACGTGATGTTTCTCGGGCTTCAAAAAAGTCCGTAGTCCTTCAGCCAATGTTTCTCACTTGGGAGCGCATTCAACGCTCATAAAGCAGCAGAATCCCGGGCTCCCACAAGTAGTGTTTCTAGAAACAAACAGACGCGAAGAGCCAAGACTTGAGAAGGGGGCGAACGAAAGCTAGGCATAGTTGCTACCCAAGCCTGGTCCAGGTTCTAATGAAGCATGTTCCCTAGCCCCTAGCCGCAAGCAATCGCAAACTTTCTATAGGGGTTCTATAGTATAAAGTGGGAGTTTGCGAAAAACGTCCACAACATGACGGCGGTTGCAGAACAAATTCTCTGCAAAATGAGCCCCCGGAATTCCACAGTTTTTTTTTCAATTTTACCAAGCGGTCACCACAAAATGGAGGGACTTCAGGTAGGGATCTATGTCATGGCGACCGCCCCTGAAATTCAAGTGTCTTTTTGTAGTGGGCGAGCTGGCTCTCAATCCTACAAGTGTCCCAAATGGGTTGGACAGACGTTCTGCTCGGGAAGTGATTACCAAACAATTGCATACAAACCCAAACAAAACCATAACCAGCAATCTTCTTCCCTCGCATCCACCGCGCAAAACTTAATGGAGGCATAGTCTGCCAACAGCACCGGCTGACTGCACGCGCCGATGCCAGAGACCGCAAGGCAGTTGCTGGGCGGCCCCATGACAGGAGTGACCTAACCAAGCAAAACCCCTGAACAAAATTGGTTGTTTACTACAAAATGTTCCACTAAAACAAACACCGTTTACACGGAGGTCAACCGCTACCATTACACAGGGGGGAATTTCAGATAAAGACACAACACCGACGAAAGGATGTTGGCAAAGCAATACGCTCACCAACAAGAGAGTTCAGAACCAGCGGACCTGTTTGCCCCCATCCACAAAGAAATGGTCCCTCTGACTTGGCTGGCGAGGTTCCTCAAGTTCCGTATGAATTACCCGGCGGGCGTCTGAGGTTTCCCTCAATTCCAAGGGATGGGGGATTGTCAAACCCAGCGGGCCTGGTTATGTGGACCGGGGCCTCTCGCTATACAAATGGCGGTCGGCGCGCGGTGTACTGGAATCCCGCCAGGCCGTGCCTCTGGAGCTTGCTCAACTTTTCTGCCTCCGCCAAGAGCCAATCGCAGAGAGCCCCCCTTTGTTTGTCTTTTCCAAGCGTTGCAAAAAAAGGCTAGTAAGCATATTCAGTAGCTAAGGCAAGTGTTCAACTCTCTAGGAAATTCGCTGCCACACTGCGCCCAGAGGACCAAAGTTTTGGCCGTGGAGTCGACTTCGAACATGAAAAAAAAGTGGGGTAAGGGTTGATTCCTTGTGAGCCGCTCCCTCTTCAGTTAAGAAAAGCTACAAAAGGACAGGAGAAAAGCTACAAAAGGACAAGGTGCTCGGCGCCTCTTCGCATCATGGGCCGTGCATTTCTTGCAAAAGAACAAAGGCCAAGGGTGGGCGCAGTCAAGACGTCAGCCAAGCTCGGCACAAACAGCTACCTAGATGCACACGGCCATGCGTTTCCGGCGTAGAAGAAACCTGAGGCAGGAGCCGGTCATGTCAGGTAAACACTACCACGCGTTTCACGTGCCTTTGACCCGACATCCAAACAACAGAAAAAAACATGATCTCTCTTACCCTGCTCGAGTGGCCACTTGCCCTGTGACGCTTAGGCCGCTCTTTTCTTCTTCTCACCTGCCGCGATGCACACTGCACTGGACACCAGTGCTGACCCCTTTGAGTTGACTGCGCACTACCTCCGCGCGCATGCGCGTGGTGTGTTCAGCCGACTGCCTCCCAATCGCAAAAATGCCTCCCGGTAATGATAAGCTTCATGTGTCAACCTAGCAAGCTCCTCTTCCATGCAGGATTGCTCAGTCATTGTGCCCTTGTGCGCCTGAGGTTTGTCATAGCACTGGCTCGCTGGGCTGACTGGCTCTGAGTCAAGGGTCCATGGGTCTGCTGCAAGCAGGCCCTTCGTGGCTTCATCTGGCGCCAAGGACTCGGGCGATGCGGGCGCTGCCTGCCACCCCTCGTCCTGCGTGCCTTCATCTGGCGCCAAGGAGTGGCGTGGGAAGCCCGCCCCCCAGGGCGACGCAGGCGCTAGTTGCAAGCCCTCATGAAGCAGGCCCTGCGTGGCTTCATCTGGCGCCAAGGACTCGCACCCCTCATAAGCCAGGCCCTGCGTGGCTTCATCTGGCGCCACAAACGGCGAGAGCTCGGAAGGCTCCCACACCATCACTGCACACTGAACAGCCCGTGTCCTTTTCTTGCTGCGCCCGGATGATCTGGGCCTCCCACAGCTCTTGCGGTTCTTCTCGTAGATCTTGCGAAGCGCCTTTCTGCGTTCGTCTGGGTCGCTGATGTGGGCAACCAACGGCGCAAACCTCGAAGGCAAGATTTGCGCGCTCTTTCTCCTGCAGGGCGCAGCAGGACTCTTGCCATAGATCCGCCGCCGAGCGGGCGCGGGCATCCCGCGTGCAGAATCCAGGGCCCGCTGCAACAACTAACAACTGTTGTTGAGTCATCAAGCGACCCTTCTTAGGTTGTGCTTCTTTGACCAACCTAGACCGCTGCGTGATGCTTGTGAGTCTTGCCACTGCCGCCGAGCCAGAAAAAAAAACTACAGGCGCCAATCCAAAAACTGAGACCCTCAAAGAGCTGCAGCATTGCCCTCCCACACAGCCACCAGCCACCACCCGGCCTTGGGGGCGTTTGCCACCAGTCCAGCGTGCGCGCGGGAAAGCGCCTCCACCAACAAAGGCTGGCGGGGACCCTTGCAACTTGCTGCCTGAAGCAAGAACATGTTGGGACAAGCTGCAGGTCATTGCAGAACACACATTCCTGCTTCTCTGCAGCGTCCACCGGCGTTCACCAATCAACATCAACCCCAAGACAGGTACACACCATGTGATCAGACCCCCAGTCTGCAGCAGAACTGCCCTCAATGTCCAGGACAATAGAACTTCAGAGGAATCTTCATTTGGGGACCTCTTTGATAAGTGGGGAAGTAAAGGCCGTTGAGCAGTGGCTCCATATGAATCTGCCAAGTTTTTCTCTGTGAGTTCCCCATGTGCTGGACATTTTCGCTGGCTCCACTTTGGTACTGCGTGTCTCTCCCAGGCCTGCGCTATTTGGCGCCCGGGCGCTAAACCAAAGCGGTAGCTTCGGACGGAGTCGCCCCTCAGTTGGCTTCTAGGGCTTCCCATCCTAAAACAGTAGCCGCCACGGGGCCAGATCCCTTGTGATAGAAGCGCTGCCAAGATACAGCCCGTGTTGCCCGAAGGAAAATTGGACTCCCCTGGAAAACTGGTGGAAAAAAGATCACGAAAAAAACCCTCGCCTTTGGGGGCCACATTTTGCCAGAGGACCGCCGGAAACCGTTCACTCCCAGCAAGCCTCGAAAACCTTCTCACCTTTGAACATGGTTTGACGCACCCTCCGGAGCCGACCTGTCCAAAACGGAGACGTGTTTCCTGAATATCAAAAGGCACCACGGGCTTCTGATGGGGACTCAACGCCCCTCAGAGCGTCGAGTTTAGGGTAATCACAAAATAGAATCCTGCTTGGGCAAAGGCTGGCGTGCAAGCAAGACGTCTGTTTTGCGCAAGTAAGCATCTCCACAAGTAAATTACCGAAAGAGAGGCCTCTGAGCTACAATCCCCACAATGTCCCACCGCATCTGAGGTTCCAGCTGTTGCAGCATATCCGCCCGGGTGAGACAGCTTATTTTACCGACTTCTCAGTGGTTCTGTGGAGTGCAATGTTGTAAGTGTTCGTCTAAACAAGCGTGAATCTTGAAACGCAAGCGAGGAACAATATTCTAGTTGTGTGGAACAGCCTGCTTGCGGAGGTCAGAGGCTGTGAGGGGCGACGCTCGGCCGCGCACGCACAATGCCCAAGCCTTCTTGGAAGCCGCCTTTACTAGATTTCTGTTTCGAGCGCTCGCGCCCGCATGACCCAGCATCAGAGCGAACCCCCATGAATTGTCCGTGAGTAACATCCCACCGCGAACATCCTTCCAAGTTGCGGATTTGTGCCAGAAGTGTGCTTTGAATGTTTTGTAAAACATTAGAAAAAATGCAAAATGTGCTAACCCGGGGTGGTGCGAGCACTAAAAAGAGCACCGCATGCTGTTGGGGATATCACCTGAGTTGTTTTTGTTTTTTTTTGGGGGGGTACTATATGCATGTATGCATGCTTGCATGCATGATGTATGTATGTATGTATGTATATATGTATGTATGTATGTATGTATGTATGTATGTATGTATGTATGTATGTATGTATGTATGTATGTATGTATGTATGTATGTATGTATGTATGTATGTCTGCGCATGCATGCAGGTATGTATGTATGCTCATGATATACATATATATATATATATATTATACTTAGATGCGTTCAGATATTCTACAAATAGTGCAGCCTCCCATCCACTTCAGCCCCCTTCACGCTGCTTGGAGTCGATTGAAATGGTTTGTACTATAAATTGTCCGAATAGGCAACGGATTGAATTGTCCGTGAAACTCCAACCAGGACCGACCATCCTTCACCCTGAGAGGATGCAACTGCATCGACTCTAATTGACCACAGTCTTCCCACTTTCCCGCAACAGCCAAACCTTGTCGTGTTTTTGTGGTACCGTTCGGTAGGGCCCGGTAGGGGGTGGGTTATGATCAACAAGCGGAAATTGAAAGGCTTTGGTTTCAAGTTCATCTGTCAAACCAGGCATCGTTCAAAGTATGCTCAAGTCATAACTCGCAATTTGCTTTGAAGAAACCCAAAGCTTCAATGAGCCCAGCTCAACAACAGCACATTACGCATGGGCGTCGTTAGGATCTCAGAAAAGGGTCAACGGCCTAGACATGAGTCAGAGATGCTGGACTCCCTGAATCCAGGAAGCGAGGCAACACATACGTGCGAAGGCGGTGACAATCAACAGTGATAACTTCCACGAAGGGAACGCCCCGGAACATTGCCTCCTCTCAAATGTCTTTGCATGTTGCGGGAAAACCCGAAGTAAAGCGCACACACCAGACCTAGCAAAGAGAGCGCAAAAAACGACACGCCTCCCACCCCTCCATTGGCTTGATTCTTCGGAGGCGCTCGGGGCGCCAGCACGGAGGTGACGTAGAAGTCCGCCAGAAAGTGCACGCCGCAGCGCAGCAGAAAGTCGTTGGCGTCCTGAGTATTTTCTCGCTTTTTCGGCGCCGCAGAAACAAGGGATCCCAAACTGTTCAGAAGGCCAACTCTGGTTCTTTGCTGGTGTTTCCCGGGACTTGTCGTTGGTTGTTGGGTGTGTTTCTCTAAACTAGGATACAAATTAAAATAGTGTCTCCTTGTTGGTCGTTAATCTTGGCTTTGAAACATGTCGGTCCCCAATTTGTCATGGACCCTTTTAGGGTTCTTTACTACCGGTCCCTTTACACCAGCGTAAAAGTGGATAGCACTGTCCGCTTCCGTAAGTAAACGGGACAACAAAGTTAAATTGATGTGGCATCTACTTTCACTCCGCTGTAGCAAGAGGTCTCTTTTAAGCTTGTTCCGTTGGCGTACCCGTTGAGTTGACTGGCCAGAGCTTAAACTTGTTGGGCCTTGACTTGAATGATGAAAACACCTGCCAACAGAGCGGCGTTTGGAAACTGAAGAAGGTAATCTCGCAGGGACGAACCTGGATGAATGTACTTGTTCCATAGGAATGTGGATGAAGGAATCCTTTCCTTCATGGTGGTGTGTGGTTTAGACATGTGTAGCAGGAGCCTTCATTATGGCTGCTGAGGCACTGAAAGATCTTCTTCACCAGGCAGCCATTTACACTCAATCTGCATCACTTCTTCAATCCGCCAGGAATTCAGGGATCCCCTAGAAGGAGGACTGCTTCAGTGCGAGATCTGGTTAGCAAGTGTTTGCTACCCCTGGTCAATAAGTCCCCCAAGTGGATTCCCCCTGCATAAGATTCACACGAAGAGTAAAGCCATAGATTCACATCGGGAAACCACTCGACCCAACTCCTGAGTATTCCGAAGAAAAGGATTGAGGATTGCCTTTGACCCACCCATGGATTAGTGTGCCATTTTTATGGCATTCCAACAATGGGTTTTACATCTCCATAAAACTTTTATCATTCCCATGCTAGTATCACAGAAAGCGGCCCGAAACCAATGTTTTGCAATCATGTGAAACAACATGCCCCCGCACAAGCAAACAATAAACGAACCGGGCCACTACCAAGCACAATCTGGAGTCCGATCGTTCCCACGGGATCAGGAACCGCCCTTGAACATACAAACAAAATCCTGTGCAGACTGGCGGAAAATGGCCACTTCTTTGATTGGCCTTTCCAATGACTCGTCTTTCACAATGACAAGGGCGAGGTTCCCAGCTGTCTCTAGATCCTAGGCATCGCTGGCTTGCAGGGATCATCGATTGTATAAACACGCGCACACGCAGAACAATTTGAATGTCCCAAGGCCGCGGAGGAGGGGATAATTCAACAAACAAGAAATGCCTGGTGTTGTCTCTCTATATATATATATGCGTATGTGCATGTTTACATAATCAACTCATGTATTCAAAAGAGTGTCTGCATAAACACACTTACAAATGTATATATATATTACATGTTTTGTGTTGCAACCTACAACGACTCAGATTACATCAGTCAACAACAAACAACACCAAACACAATATACCGTATACACGTATTATTGATAGAATGCTGTGCGCATGTGCAGATGTGTAGAAATATGACTACATTATATACACCTCTATTTGTTAAGTCCTCGGAACAATCATATATGTCCAGTAGTGATCCATTCCCTTAACAAAATAAATAGATATGCTTAAGCAAATGGACGCATGTGTGTGTGTACAAACGTGCAGTACACTTCCCAAGCAATCAAGCCCTTCCCCCAGGCTGCGCCCCAGGCGCAAAGGCATCGTCTGCCTCAACCCGCGCCGAGCCGCGCCCCGCCAGGTGCCTAGCCGTGGATTTGAGTTGAACCGAGCCATCAGCACTCAACGAGAATCCACCTTAAGGGTCGACCCAACTCAACGGGAATCAGCACTTAAAATAATATTGACCTTAAGGAACAATTCAATAGCTTCCAAAAGGTCTGAGGGGCTAAGGATCCATTAGAAAACAAATAAGCGGGCCAAAGAAGTACACAGCTGGTGAAATCGACACAGGCATCTAGCTGACGAGATGTTGACACCTTTTTTTGGAATTGGCAGAAAAGAGCCCCTCTGTGTCCCAAAATTAGGGCCCCGTTGCGGGGGTCGACAATTCAACACCAGGGACTCCTACAGCCAGGCTCTTAACAAGCATAGAGGGGCAAAGTTATTGGTAGGGACCCTTGAACTCATGCTCATCCATGGTACCGGCCTACGAAAAGAGTATCTCTTGTGGGGTACCCTTGAATTCCTTGAGCCCATGCTGAACTCACGAATCGTGACTGGGTTGAATCGCCTGAGAGGCCCCAACTTTTCACCACAACGATCTTCCACATCCAGAACCTGGGGTGAGCTTCACGAAATGTCGGGATCTCAAACTATGGGAGCTGGAACCAACTTTTTTGGGGCCCGGAACACTTCTTTGAGTTCCCTTTACCGTCCAAAAGTGGTACCCTCAACAAACAAAAACAAAAACCACTGCCCCCCCCCCCTTCCCCCCCCTCCCCCTCCAACCCCCCCCCCCCTCCCCCTCCCCAAAAAACACAAGGAATTGCCTGGCCGGACTTCTGCTGATGGCGAAGTAGGCCAGGGAGGCGGCAGGTACCAGCAAGCCGAACCTCGGAGTTCCCCAAATGTGAATTGGGTTCAAGGAAACATGGGCTCCATCTTTTGGCCCCTCGCAAATACAAGCTTTATTTCCAGATGTCCAATGACAGATTCCCTTTGAAACCAGGGGAACCTGAAAAAGATTCTTAAGCGAATTGACGGTTTCCTTGCGGCTTCCTTTTGGTGTTCGATTGAGTTTCGCCATTTTGAGAAATTCCGAATGGGAATTCGCACAATGAGTGGCTCTTACTTGAGTTGACTGCTCAGGCAAGTGTCGACCCGTCCGGCAAAAAGTGAATTCAGTCGCTCGTTGCTGATTCGCCGGGAACCAGTGATACCCCGCAACCGGCTAAGGATGAAGGCCAAACCAAAAACCAGCCAAGTCTCTCACCTTGAGTCTACTGGGAAAGACAAGTTCAAACTTTGTTGGCCTTTGCTCAAATGATAGACAACAACCTGCCAACCAAAAGTGTACTTCTTACTCACTCAACAGGTTAAAGTCCCTCCAGGTGGCTTTTCGGTATCCAGAAAAGGGTTCCCTATTTGGAGGTAGACCCATACAAATTGAAGCCAATTTCGACACGGTTACTGGCCCAAGGTTCAGTGAGAGCCATTTGACGTCTGTGCTGTCATTGCTGTGGAGAAATCATCAGGGAAGTGCGCTGCGGTATGTTTGGCACATAGTATTGGATTGTCGGCACGTTGGCGGAACTGAAGCAGCATCTGATGCTGGGTTGGATGGAAAGGGACAATCCCTTCGCTTGGGGACCAAGATCACCCCATCAGCAGGAACTCCACTGTGGCAAAGCAATCAATGGGCGCAGCTCAAAATGGCTCAAACAGGAAAATATATTGAATCCTGCTTGTGGATTCGAACAGGCTGCCAAGCTGCAACTAGCTGTTCAAACCATATGTGAACCGACCCAAGGCCTATCCTGACAGACAGACAATGATGCCATCCAGTAAAGACGACTGCCTCTGGAGTGCATAATTCTCTTGATGCCCCTGTAAAGCACACCAACGAACTCTCCTTAAAGAGATTGATGAAACAAATCGAGGGTGCTCCTGTATGTCATCGACAGCGGAGGGTCAGCGGATAACGAGTCAAAGGTCCGCTCCTATGCATGTAGAAGAAAGTTCCCCAGAAGGAGCTTCATCTTAACATGAGGGGCTTGTCCTTCCTTTCGCTTTCATGACAAGAAATTGCCGTCCCCGATTCGGGAAACGCAAGGGTGTCCCAACTGCTGATCCTTTCTGCAAAGAGACCCGTGTGCTCACAAACGGGTTGAGTGGTCCTTGGAAGTTGGTTGAATCGGCGGGAAGTCTAGAATCAAAGCTTTCGGGAGTCACAACCTGTCAACGCAAAGAAGTCTACCCCAAATCTATGGTAAGCACCTTAACAAATGAAGTGAGCGGATATCCGCTCTCCCTTTCTGACAAAGGAACTGTTCTCACAGGAAACTTGGTCGTGACTCAAATGGAACCACTAACTTTGTTTGGTTTGGTTTGGCCGCTGTCCAAGTCTTGACGTTAAACAGAACCCTCCACAAAAGCCCCACGGGTGTCATAAAGGTCTAATGAGGCTGAAATGCAAATCTGAAAATGTACGATACTTCCATGACCTATTTGAAAAGATGCTGATCCCCAAGTAAGCAAAGGACCTGCATGGAAAACTATGTGGCGCTCAGCAGGGAATGAGAAATGGAATGACCCTCATAAACCATCCCTTGTGGTTTCCTAGGAAATCATAGGAAATCCACAGGTTCATTCAACCGCATTCCTACAACGCCCGCTATTCGCTGGGGTCGATCAGTTTTGCGCTCGAATCATTCGGCCCCAAGCGCAGCGTTGTGGGCAGCTCCTCGAGGTCGTCGGTGTTGGGCCGAATCTCCGCCACCTGGTAGCAGAGGTACACGCTGTACGCGAGCATCACCTCTTCGCGTCTTGAGAGTCCCATCCAGTGGGGGTGGGGATGAGTTGGGGGGGGGAGAGAGTCCTGGAAGCCCATCTTCCTTTAAAAGGGAATCTTTGGTCGGTTCCATGTTGGAGGACCGGAGGGTATCCTTTTTTGGGATGGTTTCAACCAGCCATCGGAATGAGGATCACATATCCTCCCATCACAAGGATGGGGGCCAGGCCCCTTCCTTGATTCCGCCTGGCAAGTACTTACCTAATTTCTGCAAACGTTGAGCTGCGTGCTGTGGGCCGCGAATCACAGCCTGAAGGTTGCAGCCAAAGATGCTTTTGAGGCAATTTTTAGGCAAGGTTTTGGATTGAACAAAATGTCACTGGTTTCAGGAGGTCATTGCCCAGCGCCATCTACTTTCCACCCAGGGCAGCATTTCAGGAAGTGGCTCAGTGTTGCCGTGGAGCTGGAACCCGGAAGCTCGCCATGACTGCACATATCCAAATATGCTCAGGCTGCCTTGAACTGAGGATGATCCCTTTCGCCGGGAAGGATCAGGGCTGGGCCAATGGAATTGGATTCATCGATTCTTGCCGGGCGAAAACGGAATTCAGGCAGATCACAATCGTCGCATCATGCCGCTGAGCTAAGTCAATAAAACATGCATAGCCGCCGGTCATAGGAATCTCCATCCTGGAAAGATGCAATGGCATCTAAACAAACGTACAAGTACTGGGAATCCTTGTCCTGGCCAGCAAACCCCTGCGCATCGGAGCGAGTCCCTATTGACCCGTTACGGGGCAACCGGTCTGATTCAAACTGCCCTCTGTAAAAGCCCCTTGTATGAAGCCTGCCTCATAGGATAGTTTGCCATTTGTAGCTTCCCAATTATCGGGGGAATACAGTATTACAGGCACAATCGGGCTCAACACAGCTATGGGATTGCCATGCACAAGCCAACGTCAAGACTCGTCATGCGCCCAAGCAGGTCGTTTGACCACACCGCACGTATAGGCATGTGGGGCATGCAAAGCGACACAACATGCGGCATTAACATGCGACGAACCATCAAACCATACTCTTTTTCGGTGGAGGGTCCCCTATTTTTGGAAACAACCAATACACAAAACTGATAGGGGGGCAGTAAGCGCCGATACCCCCAATACTCAATACACAGAACCCGGATGAGGGATGTGGATCATCCAGATGTCCGTTGCTTCCTAGTCACATGCATTGGAGACTACATGGAACGCGGGGAGTTCGTTCAGTTGAAACAACTGGCAACTGGCAGCCAAAAGGCGCTGGAAGTCATCAAAGACCCGTGCTCGCACCACTCGGTAATGCTCAGCAGCAGCAGCACTGCAGAGCCTTGGAGGGTCGTAGGGTCAGTTAAAGCGCAGGGGGGGGGGGGGGGGGGCGGGCAGGGCCTGATTCCTTAAACCGAGTTCCAACACGTGGCGTGCATGCTGTTCACAAAAGGCGCTGACCAGTCTTTGTTGGCTGACCCGAAAGGGAGCTCTGACCCCGAAACAGAGATAAAAGCTGGGATGGTTTCAAAGTCGGTCGGGATTCGCAGGGAACCGTGGCAGGTATCAGGTCAGGTACGGACAATCTGACCTACTGACGGCTGTTTGTGGGCTATTCCCACCATGGGAAGCGAAGCAGGGCTGGGTGTCAGGCCGCTTCAATGGAATAGAAGGGGTCAAAACGCCTCCCAAAAATACAAGTTCAAGTCAAGTTGCCCTATGTGTCTACTCGGCTCAGGTTGCCAATGGGGACGCCAGGACATCTTGCTTTGTGTTGGTCAATCTGAAAAGGGATGCCAATTCAACACCAAACGATATGGATTTACATGGACACCCACTGAAAGACATCAGTCAACAACACATCCACCAACCTGTTGCTAGTGTTTCCCCTTTAGATTTCCTGGCTAAAACGTGCCACTAGGCAACTGGGAAGTTGTGAACAGAGCTCAACAGTCGCGCTCCCTTCCCAAGGCCGGTGTGCCTCCGATAGCGCTGAGCACCAGCCAGGTCACCTTGGCGAAGAACGTGCCCCTCTCAGTAGGGGATCTGTAAACCAAAGAAACCAGGATCTGCTTCTGGCAAGGCAACCAGAGCTTTCCTATCTTATCTCCTACTGAGGCAACTACTTCACGGGTGTTGACCAGCGGGCAGTGTAAGTTGAATAGAGTGGCTTGGCTAAGGATTTGATCATTGGGCGGCCTGACAAGCAGCGCTTTCATGAAATGAGTCAATGGTCCAACATTATTCAATATGGTCCAATGTACGGCCATGGCCGAGCCAGTCAGGGGTCACCTTCTGTCACCTTTCGTACATCTCTTTTACCTGGCAGCTGCAAAGCAAGCTCAATGCTCGCTGCTCATCTGAGCAGACGCTTATTCTTGTTTGCTGAGAGGACAAACCGGGGGTGGCCCATGTTTTTCCATGGGCAATTTGGGTGATGTCCTCCCAAACTTGGAATGGGCTACCAATCAGCTTGTTTGCTGGAAGGTAAATGCCCTCATGTTGAACAAAGGTGAGCATCTCATCTACTCTGCCAAGGTATGAATCCGCAAACCCAATCTCATCGCCAACCCAGGGCAGGCAACCGGCCCCACACACACACACACAAACATACACTAACTACAAGCACTACAGTGAACTTCCTGCCACTGATCAGACTTTGTTCGCATTTCACATCCACCACACATCCAGGGTGCTGTGGACTTTGCGAAAAAGCAACACAAACTAATCTGTATGCGTGACAACAGAACCAAGAACCAATTCATTCGCATGGCGTGCTGAAAACTATGGGCATAATATACCAGAATTGGTGTATTGGAAGACTCCGTGACTTAGCCAGCACTCCCCAACACTTTCTGGGCCAGGTCACGTCGGGCACCCAATGGCAAATGGCGATGGCTGCACCGATCCTCAAGTCCCAGGCTCCCAAAACCCAGAACTGCTCAATGCCACGGGTCGATGATTCCGATCTTGTTGGATGACTGCCGGAAAATCAGAACATATCCCTTTTGGGAACATAACACTAAACTAGACTGACAACTCAGGGTAATACAGATGTGGGCCAAAAATAGGGTTGCTCTGGAAAATAGAAAGGACTACCCTCCCTCCCACTAACATGGCACCTGATAGGGGGTCCCTTGAAGAGGAGATTAATCTTCCAATCACCTCCCCATAGCTGCCATGTTAGTTGGGAGGGTAAAACCTGCGGTCCATCTCCGAATCGTTTCGCCCCCTAAACCAACTTAGAAATGGGTTGCCGAAAGGCGAGGCCAGCAGCAGGAGCGCGGAGGCGCAGAGCATCACTGCGAGCCGGCCCTTGTAGGCCTCGATTTTACAGCGGCTTCCTGGGAGTTGTCCCATATAGGGAAGGACCCCCCCCCCAAAAAAAAAAATGGAGTAGTTTTTTTGGCGTCCCTTGCTTCCCACGGTGTATCAAGAAAACACATGTAATACCTGCATGTACCTTGATACGTTGGTGACGACAAAGGCTTGGCACGTGGTTGAGCCCCGAAGGCCTGAAGTCTGAGCATCTAAAACCCATTAATGCATCTGAGCGTGTGAATCGGACCTGACCCTTGGGCTTCTCCAACGACTCCACTGTATGATGTTCCAATTTATGGTGGACTACAGGAAATTTCGTGAGCTCCCTGTCCATTTTGGGACCATAGACTACCGGATGTGTTGAACAAATCTCAAATCAGTGTTGTTCCCAAATTATTGGAGTAGCCAAGGAACACCTAACCACCCTTTTGAACTTTCGGCTTCTTTAAGAAACGTAAGGACACTTTACCAACCTTGCCAACCTGACCTATTCTCTACCATACCCTTTAGGTCTTCGGAAAGGCACAAGGAAACCACACCAACTGTAAGGAACCCAAGGAAACCTTACCTAGGTCCTCCAGCAGAGAGGTTAGAATAACGGTACCTTTTTTTTTCTGTAGTCTGTTTTAGTGGGGAAACCCCTCCCAACCAAACAAGAAACGGTAAAAGGGCACGATCCTGGCTGACCTGGTTGCCAAGCTTTCGACTCCGGTTTCGTCACCTGTAACTCACCATCCCCACCTCCGAGCTCATCAGTCGGCGTCGCGCCTCCACCTGAGAGCCAATTCTTGGAACAGATGCGTGCTTTTTTGGGGGGGTTTCGAGGAAACTCCCAACATGGCGGTTTTCCTTTTGGTTTCCTTTGAGACCAAAACGGGAAACAACATGCGGGTATGTCTTAAATCGGAATCCGGCCACCAAATTGGCTTCGGTGCTCCTTTTGGTTTGCCTACCAAGCCCAAGAAGGACACCGAAGCCGCCCATATTTGTTCCATGTTCGACCTTAAGTCCCGGAATTGACGAAGGTGGGGTGTGGGGCGAAGATCTGAAGCCCAATATGGCTTCGATGCCAAGGTCCGATTTCCATCCCTGGAACAACCTCGTCAGAGCAACCTCGTCACTTTCAAGGGAAGCAAACTCCAGCTTCTCCAGTGAATCGCGAGTCTCACGAGCTGAAACAACAGTTGTGCTTCGCCAGGGCCTAGGATTCCAATAGCAGCAATGCCATCATTTGGGCCTGTCCTTTTTGAAGGTGTCCCGGTTTGGTGGTTTGAAGAAAAAAACGAAAGGAAACCCATCGTTTTAGGGGGTTCCCTTAAAAAGACACCCCCCATTGCAAGGGGGAACCGTCATTTCCAGCATCCTCACCTTCTGCCATGGGATTTCAAGAAAGCGGTTTTCCTGGAGCGGAATACTCAAGGGTAGCCCTTGCCCAAGCAAACACCAGACCAAACAAACAATCACTACTCCATGAATAAATTGAATCAGTGGAGCATACAACATGAATCCAATGGACTACATGCATGGAATCAGCACGACGGATACAACTAATGGCACACGTCCAATACATGAAATGAATGGAATGCCTGGGTTGAACCGAATGAATGATTGAATGAACGGATCCAAGGAACTCAATGGAAGGAATGGAGACTGAATGGAATGCTTGAGAGGGATCGAGTTAATTGCTTGAGTCCTTGAATAAATGAAATTAATGACACGCGGACATACCTTAATTGAGTGGATGGAACGAGAGTGATTAACGGGATGGATGGATGGATGGATGGATGGATGGATGGATGGATGGATGGATGGATGGATGGATGGATGGATGGATGGGTGGACGGACGGATGGACGGATGGATGGGTCGGTTTTTATGACAAGCACCTGCCAAGATGATTGGCCGCGGCACGGCCGACGAGTAGAGCCGGTCGTTGATGTTGTAGGCAAAGTCCATGAACAGGACTGCCTGGCCCAGATACATAGCCCAAACTCCATTCCAATGGCCCCAAAAGGTGATGTTTAAAAAAGGGGAAGAGGCCTGCTTGGGGAAAGCGCAATCACACACGCACAGAGCAGGACCAACACATAGCAACCTGGCCACTGCTTGCAGAAAAGCAGGACATTGATACTTTTGGTTGGTGTCCACCCACCAAGAATGTACCCATAGGAAGCAGGCTTCTTTATCGGAATCCGCGTTCATGAGTCAAAGGGACAGAGAGAACCCAGAGAAGATTTCAGAACCTTTGCTGTTAAAGGCTATCGCCAAGGTTGAGAAGCCGGGCTGCCGCCATGTGCAGGAAACCGGTGTGTGTGTGTGTGTGTTAATTCGCTGTTCGCTTCGTTTTGCATCCCCTTGAAACAACAACCTCAACGTCAAAGGATTGAAAGGGACAGGATCTTTTACATGTGCCTCTCGCCGGCAACTGATCCAGACAGCTTAAACTTTGTACCTAAAGGGAAGCACAAGCGCAACCTTTGTTTCACATTAAGGCAAATAAGGAAAACATAGGGAAGCCTGAGGCTGTCTATCTGCTTTTTCGGAGGTCGCCCACTGTGAAGGGCATCCATCTTGCGACTGCTTGTATCCCTTCAGCGAAGTGGGAATCTGCCAGCATATTGACCTGCTTCCCGCCACGTCTGGTTTCGAGAGCGGCTTTAGGACCCCCCGGCAAACTTCTCAGGACGCTTCTAGTAACCCCTTTGAAGAAAGTTCTAACCGTTCATGTAAGAAGGTTCTAAGCGAGGTCGCCAAGCAAGCCCTTGCTGAGGTGCAATAACTTGCGCAACACCATGCTGCATCTGTGGACATGATGTAACGATGCTTTCCGTGCAGGCGTGCCGCACTCCAGCTTCTTGGGAGTGCTCAACAAGTCATGCCGCACATGCAAATGCAGCTCAGATTTGCAAGCATAGACAATTGTAGGATGCAAATGTCTGTTACCAGTGGGGCCAACGAGCCATACCACTGGTCGCTCCCTATCCAAAGGTTGCGACACAAACCTCGCCCTCTGGACCACACCACTTCAAAGTCAACCGCAACCAATTAGCAAATGAGGAGAATTGAGGTGTCCAGAGGTCCTAGAGTATGTAAGGGGCATTTTGTGTCAGATGGCTGCTTCCAGGCAAGCTTCAGTGATGATTCCTTCTGTGACCGGAAACCTGCCCTTACAAGTCTAGGTCCTCCAGTAGCGAGGTTAGAATAAAGGTACCCTTTTTTCTGCAGTCTATTTTACTCTCCCCCCAAAAAGGGTAAAAGGGCACAACTGGGGGGCCTAGTAGAGAAAGACGACTCTGGAAGCAACTCTATGCTCTCGACTCGAAAAGTTCGGTCGCTGCCTGCATCACTCGGTACGCAGCAGCTGCGAACCTGCGGCTGTGAGAGACAGATCAATGTCGGCCGGCACAATGCGTCAAGGCTGGTGGCGGTTTTAAGAAAACACGCATTTTCTTCAGGGGCCCCTCCGGTCCCAGTTGCCATTAAGCAAACCTTTTTTGAAATCTCCCCTTGCAGGAAGGCCCCCCTTTCTGAATTGCATACAATGGGGTCACTTCATTTTCCCAATAATCAGAGATTCATTGGTAGACGTTGCGTTGGACCCGGGGGTACAGCTTGTTGCAAAAATGGCCAACTCCTCCCTTTGACTTGGGCGCCGGGCCCCAACCAACTGCCATGTTCCGGTCATATTTTGTTCGGGGCTGTTCTAAGATCCCCTGCTAAAAGCTTAGCTTTTAGTGGGTTAAATGGACACCCCCACTAAACCCTAAAAAGCTATAAGCTAAGGAGACGGCTGGGACCCACCAAGTGTCCATGCTCCAAAGGTGGCGTAGGCCCAAGGAGCGTGCCCAAGAGCCTCCGAACCTCCCAGTAACGTGCATGAACCCTCCAGATTCGCAAGTTCATCTCACAGTTGTCGCTGGCGAACATGCTGCTTGACATGGCAAGACTTAAATGCGTTGTGCTCTGTACATGCTTTTGCTTGTTTAGATATCGCCAGTTCTGTTGAGCACAACATCGGGAGACTTCTTGAAACCCTCCCACCGCGCATGCTAAAGAAGTCCACCGCCACGAACATGCCGTTGGGAAAGAAGAGCAGCAAGAAAATCAGCACACACCTCAGATGAGCAGCGACCCCAAACTCCGTTGGTTCCAGTAGATACTTGTCAGCCCGTCAGGAAGTCAGTCAGTCCGTCAGTCCGTCGGTCGGTTGATCGGTCAGTCAGTCAGTCAGTTGGTCAGTGTAAAGTCACGAATGTGAACGCCTCTGAGGGAGCAGCTGGTACTCAGAACAAGGCAGTGAGTGAGCTGCAGTCAGAAGCGGGATCGAGTTGTTGTGAAGGTTTATGTGGGCTGACCACACCCCTCATGAAATCAAGGAGTAGAACCTGGCATTGACAGATTGCTGCCATTCACCTGCCTTCTGAAACGCATGTGGTTGTTTGCTACATAATTATCTTCATGTTCGGGTGTTGGAACCGCGTTCTCCCGCCAGGCGCCCTTTCGAAGTTACTGATCTCGCTTTCCAACAGCGTGGTTTGCAATCATTTGCGATCACAATGATTCAACTGCGAGAGCCAGCGTAAAGCGGATGATGAAGCTGAGAAGGACGAGCTATCATGGTTCTTTGCCTGCGTGTTGGCTGAATTACCGCCTGCCTGTGAACATCATGGATGCGTGGTGTGTTGCAGGGAAATTACTGCTCACATTGGCCTGCCTGGAGACTCGTTCTGATCTCGTTTTGAACTCGCTGCGGACCTTGTTTTACCATGGCTCCAAAAGTGAGCCTATGAACCTCTGCATACAACCTGGTGGGCTGCTTCTTTATGAGCGCAGAACCGCTAGCAGCAACTCCAACGAACGGAGCTGGCAGTAGCATCAGCCTCCCTTCCAAACACGTCTCCAGTCCACCGTGCCATCACTTTGGGATTGTGTGCTAAGTAGGTAGCTCGAAATATCACCCAATATGCAAACACGCAGCACTTGTGAACATGTCATGTCACGAACGTGTTGTCAATCATATCTCCTTTGGGGGGTGTCCAAAGACAAAGGATAATGCACACCCCGGATCAAGCAGTATTGTGGAATAATACGGGGTGTTGCCTAAAGCCTGGCGTCCTTTGTATCCAAATTTCATTCCATAGCAAGAGAGCCACGGAGAGGTCCTGACCCTTGATTAGTCTTTCAGAACCCAAATAGTCACTATAATTCGTCAATACCCTCCTATCCACGTTGCCATGGAACCCACCAGAGGGGGGTTCTTAGTAGGGAAGTGGTCCAAACCAGGACCTTCTGATACCTTCTGTCGATTCTTGGCCAGGAGCTGAAGAGCAACCACAGACCTCAGCGCGCAGAACAGACTTTCCTCGGGGAATTTTCGTCGGGTACATAGGATATATGCATATATACATGTGTAACAGGGTACATGAGGGTAGAAAAGGGTATGCATGTGGGGCGTGTGTGAGTGGTATGGTTTTTGGGGCATTATCGTAGGCCATTGATTCAGGAGTTATTTCCCTTGAAGGAGTTCAAAGGGGTCCGATTCAAAGAGTTGAAAGAAGCTGTCAGCCAGTCGCAGGTCTCGAAGGTGCGTGAAAAAGTTGGCGGTAAGCAAACTCCAGGAACAAGCAACTTGGAAACCATGGTTGAAACTATTGTTTATTGGTATTTACTAGGGAATCATCATTCCAGGGTTTCTTGGGTGGTGCAGGATTTCGTCCATCCACAGTATGTTGCATGATTCATTAGCAGTGCCCCCCTTGCTGGCCTGCTGGAGATTCATTCTCGTCCGTGGGAGATATTTTGGACAATCACAGGGACACAGGAATAGTCATCTTGTGGTGGATGAATGGGGGAAGATGCCTTGCATGTTGGAAGCGATCCTTCACTTTTAAGAGAAGCACACCCCTGTAAATCAGGCAGGTTCTACTTAGATCTAGGGTCAGTATTGCCAGGTGAGAACAAGGCTGCCTTGATTGGGATTCCTTCCAGCAGAAAACCTTATGCAACAATCGATGCAGCTGATGCCAACTGCGACCTAACACTTCTCTTTAAATTCTTTACAGGTCACACAGGCAAGGCCAAACTACCAAATTCTATACACAGTTAAGGGATGATTTCAAAACTAGCAGCACCATGATGTCTGGATCAAGCTACGCGGGCTGAGCTCTGCATTGTCTGGGCCTCGCAAAAGGCAAACCTGCGGGGACATGACCGAATCATGTCTGATCGCTTGCATTGCACCATGCACCTGGGGATCGAAATGTGGCCGAGTTCACGACTTGACAATTCAAACGCAAATAACCATCGGGGATATGACCAAACATGCACAACATGGGTATTGGTTTTATTTGATGTAACCAGCCAATCACACTCTTGAGGCAGTTCCCACCAACTCATAGATTTCTCCCTGGGTTCTCACCTTGAACCTTCAGCCATTGTTCTTTTTGATCAGCCGTTCTCTCTGGATTTTTGATAGCGAAAGCCGGAAAGAAGGATCCCTGGAAAGAATGGCGTAGTGGCTAAGCTAAGAAGTTACACTAGAAGTATTTCCGGAAATATGGGCCAAGAAGGATTATCATGCCATGCAGTCGATATCACGGGCAAATCTTGCGGCCGAAAGCACAGGTCCCCCCCCTTGCACGGTGTCGCTTCTCCAGGCGAAACAGGATTCCTCAATATGGGGACCCCTTCAGCTGGTTGTTTTCCTTTCGATTTCCCTTCCAACCCAAAAGGAACGCACACCCAAATGGCCCAAGAGATGATGTGGCCCACGGCCACTGCCCCGCTCGAACGCGACATCTCCAAGTTGCAAGGCGATCACGGCATGGCGCTGCTGCAGCAGTGAGGACTTTCCCAAGGTCAGGCCAGCCAGCCTGCTGTTCGAACCCTTCAAACCCCTGGTGAATGGAGTAAGCAACCATGGGGCAGGCCTACGTAACACCATGCAATGTAGCGGAAACTCCTTGTGGGAAATGGATCCCCCTTGTGGATTCCATGTTATTTGTAGGGGAGTAGATAGCCATTGAGTTCCTGGTTGGGTTAAACCGCGTCTGTCAAACCAATGGATGCCTTAATGGACGTGGACCCCTCCCCATACACTAGTGAAAGCTAGCTAAAACACAATAGCATTCTGCAATCAGAGGTCGCTTACCAACAACGCCTACGCCTTAGAGTAGGCTTGGATCTGCGCATGGGGACCGTCCCAAAACCCTTGTTCCAGCCAGGCAGCAACGCATAGATGACCACGGCCGCTGCGCCTGTACCTTGGGTCCAAGACTGGCCTGGTCGGAATCC